CGAGACCCTGTCTCAAAAAAAATTAAAATTAAAATATATATGGGGGAGGATAGGGGGAGAAGGAGAGAAAATCTTACAAGTCTCAAATTTTATTTAATAAATAAGGCCTACCTTTTTTAGCAGAGATTTCTTCCACTGGAAAAGCATCATTATATGAGCCACAGGGAGAAGAATCAGGAGTCTTCACAAGCACACGCTCCTCGGGCAGTGCTGAAGGCGAGCGAGGAGGAGTAGGCTGTGGGGTAACTGCTGGAGTACATATTCTTGTCTGAAACAAGTTGGCAAAACAAGAAGAGGTATTTATGATCACCAAGGTAAAGGCAACTTGAAACAACAACATCAGCTCATTCATATGCTATATACAAATTAAAAGCACAGGCAAAACAATAACAAGAAAGGATTCACCATGCCTTGACAAATGTACCAACATGCTATCAACTATAAAATATAGGTAAAGGATACACAGATGTTCACTGTATCATATTTTTGTTGCTTTGTGGTTTAACTTTTCTGTAGACCTGAATATTTTCAGGAAAATGTTACTTTAACTATAGTGACAAGGAATAAAAATCTACCATAAAACATGACCTGATGATATGCCGTTTACAATGTATCTATTTTATTATTCTTTAACAACTATGTCAACCATCCCCAGAAGTGTAAGCCACGCCTACCAGCAAGGGCGAGTCACTTGTTGAGGCATCACCAGGAACAGCTGCAGCCACAGGAGCTGGCTTCTTCGATTCCCGGTCACCTAGCATGCCAGCAATGGTCTCAGCAAGAGCATCATTCACCAAACACCTGATCATGTCTGAACTCACAGGAACCCCTGCGTCAACAAAGAGCTGGAGGGCACCACCACAGGCTCCTTCCACTACAAACAGAAGATCTTCAGAATAAGTGGGCAAGAAACATACTTGGAGTCTAAACCCTAGTGCTCACATTTTTACAGATGCCAATATAAGCAGAAGACAAGTCAAAATGAAAATACAAATATATCTACTTACAATCAAAGAGACTAAAATAATAGAACATCTCTCAGCAAACCAGAAGAGGGAGCCATATAGATGAAAATTTATTTATATGGTCTCTTCTCCACCACAAAGGAATTTAATAATAAAAAGCATCTGCTGGGGCCGGGGAGAGGGCTCAGTGGAATAAGCACTTCCCTGGCAAGTGCAAGGGCCTGAGTTCAATCCCCGGTTCCAAAAAAAAAAAAGCATCTGCTGGTTAGGATAGATATATAGTTACATTCTCTTAATGAATAGAGGGATTTGTTCTAATGGTGTTTGTAAATAGGATATCATGTCCGCATCTTGTACAGCAATTAACCTCTAGGAAGAATGTATGCAATGTGTTAATTATTGAAACTGTCCTATCAATTTGGTTTGAAACTGTCTCATTTGTATTTGTTTCTCAATAAATTATGGGGGGAAAAAGTATTTGCATCCATATTCAATGTCCTATCTGAAAACTCATATCACTAGCCTTGATCAAAAGGAGATGAGAGCCCTTCCCTCTAGTCTCAGACACATCACTTACTAATATTAAAGGCCAGGCACCTCCAAATATCTGTGGTAGTTTTGGTGTCCACTACTAGAACATGCACTTTTCACTTACATGAATCACACAAAATTAGGTAAAATTTTCTTTGGGGATTTTAGTGAATTTTTTTTAATTTTTTTTTTTTTTTAATTTTTAACATTTATTGGGGGGGGCAGCTCAGCCCACCAGGGGGCGGGGCTGGCTGGCTTGTGGTACTGGAGGATTGAACCGTGGTCCCTGTGCTTTGCCAAGCTTGCTCCAAGTAGGTGCTTTAGACCACTGAGCCATCTCTCCAGCCCCCGATTTTAGTGAATTTAAATGATACTTCTAAAGCTCTGTGTGGAAATGTGTGAGCAACAAACTGTACAACCCAATCGATACTTCTGGTGCGACAATGATGGCAGCAACATGCACAAGTCTCTGACACCCACCAGGTGGTACTGGATTCTGGGCTCTCTTATCAGGGGTGACAGCAATTTACTCTGCCACCACCATAGTAAAGCTTTTCAAAACCCCAAGCTTAATACTGGACAGAATATTCCCATATACCCCTTTTTCAGTACCCATAATTCTTGTAGCATGACCAAAAAAATCTCAGTCATAAAGCTCAAAACCCCAAAACCCCTTCCCAGACGTTAGCAAGACAGAGGCAGAAAAAACAAAACAGAATCTAGATATCCAATCTGAATATTTTTTAAGATTTTAATCAATAAACAAATCAGGGGCCAGGGAGATGGCTCAGCGGAATAAGCGCTTCCCTGGCAAGTGCAAGGGCCTGAGTTCAATCCCTGGTTGCATAAAAAATAAATAAATAAATAAACAAATCCATTTTCTTGTAACTTTTTGGTCATTTTCTCCTTCCTTGAAAAACCTGATGAAAGAAAAGCTGAGACAGCAGCAGTGGGAGAACAGACAAGAGCTGTATTACGTCGGAATCCTTAATCAAATGCAACGACAAACTACACAGAGCTGAGATGCATGCTGTGATGAGTGGGACTGCAGAGGAGCA